ACTTTGGATGCTTTAATTTTGTAACTTGAACAGCGACTTCTAAGATGACAATATGTAATCTATCAACTAGTGATTTCTTACTTTTTTTGAAATTTTGTATTATTTCTACCCTTTTTTCTGTTTTGCCTTTTTTCTCTTTAAATAAAATCCTTTAAAGAAAAAAAAGAAAGAAAGATCAGAACACAGAAAACTCTAATAACCTAAAAGAATTCATTTTAGCCAGGCGTGGTGGCTTACACCTGCAATCCTAGCAGTGGGGAGGCTGAGGCAGGAGGACCCTTGGGAGTTCAAGACCAGCCTGGGCTACAAAGTAAGCTCAGGGCCAGCCTGAACTGCATAGAGAGACCCTGTTTCAAAAAAAAAAGAATTCACTTTAGCCAGGTATGGTGGCTCTCAGCTTTAATCCCAGCTCTCAGGAGACTGAAGCAGGAGGATCACCATGACTTTAAGACTATCCTGAGCTACCTAGTGAGTTCAAGGCCAGCCTGAACTACAAAGCAAGATTTAAATGGTGATGTGTTCACACAACAGAATACAACATTTGAATGAGCAACATAACATGGATTAATCTTGCTAATGAGAGTGAGTAAAGGAAACTCAAAGAATGTGTACTAAACGATTCCACTTATGTAGCATTCAAAACACGCAGAAGTTTTCTAGAAGAAACTTGTATGAGAGGGGGAGTTCTGACACTAATAAATTTGGGGAGGCTGGGTCCTAATCACATAATGTGTTTATTCTGTAAAAATTTACGGGGCTGGGGATTTAGCTCAGCGGCATAAGCGCCTGCCTTGGAAGCAGGCAGTCGTGAGTTCGATCCCTGGTACCGGTAAAAAGGAAAAAGACAAAAAAAAAAAAAAAAAAAAATTAAAAAATTTACCTAGCAGTACAACTTTTCAAAATGCAAATAGGTACCAAATGGGGACATCAGGACTTCTAGTCCTTTCCTACCACCCATTCTATGCTCAGAAACTTGAGTGACAGTTCTACATCAGTGGTGGCAAGCCTACAGCATGCATGCCACAGAGGGCTATTTGTTAACACAATAGCTCTAAGAGCTATTGAGCTGGGTGTGCTGGAGTGCGCCTGTAATCCCAGCACTCAGGAGGCTGAGGCAGAAAATTACAAAGTGAGCTCAAGGACAGCCTGAACTGCATAATGAGACCCTGTCTCAAAGGACAAAAATAAAAAACAGGAGGGTCCTTGAGAGTTCAAGACCAGCCTGGGCTACAAAGTGAGCTCAAGACCAGCCAGAATTATTTAGTGAAACCCTGTTTTTAAATATAATAATAATAATAATAATAATATTCAGTCAATAAATTATTCAGACTGTAGTGGACAGAAGAAAAATTAGCAGAAAGAAGTCTGGTTAGAAGCCGGGCTCAGCAACCCATGCCTGTAACCCCAGCTACTAAGGAGGCTCAGGATGGAATATTCAAGTCCAGTCTGGACAACAAAGAAAGGCAAGAGTGTCTCCAAATAGAAAGAAACAAAAAGAGCCAGCAAGAGAGAAAAAGAGGAAGAAAGTGGGAGGGAGGAAAGAAGGCAGGCAGGCAGACAGACAGACAGACAGGACCAGCGATAGGTCAGTGGTAAACCACTAGCATAACACACTCAAGGCTCCAGGTTCAATGCCCACTACTGCAGGGGGGAAAAACAGTAGTCTGATTAGGACTCAGCTGTACCTGTCTTTAAAAAAAAACAACAAAGGTCCTGAAATAATGAAATGAAAACTACACCAATCCTAAGAAAATAGACTACAGGTACTGTCTACTAGTGGTCACAGTTAGAATCACCAACTATACCCTAGAGGTCAGAAAACTTTTTCTATAAAGATCCAAATACTGTAGTAAATATTTCAGGCTTTATGTTCCAAATATAGACTCTATTATATCTCTTGTTTTTGTTTTTTAAACAATCCTTTAAAAATTAAAACTATACTTAATGAACCATTTTTTAAAAAACAAACAAAAAGCCATAAGCTGGATTTAGGATGTGAGCCAGTTTGCTTATCCCTGCTAGACACAGGTAAAGTGAGGATTAACCTTCTTATGAGATTAATATTCCTAAAATGCTACTTGTATCATATTACTCCCCTACTCTGAAATCTCCATTGGTCCTCAAAGACCAATAAGTAAATTCAGTCTCTATGATGCCTAGCATTCATGGCATCTATACTCTAGCTCCAACCCACTAGTCTAAGCTCATGAACTATATTTATCAGAAACATTCCATTCTTATTAATTTGAGTTACTTATATTTACCTGCCTGTATCTTTGCAAAATTCCTCAACCCAGTTCCTTCTACAGCTCCAAACTTACCCAAACACCTTTCCTTCAAATCCTTCATCAAAACTCCTAAAAAGCACTATTTAAATATTTAATCACAGCTTTGAATTCTTCAAATAAAGTGTAAATTCCCCGTGAGTAGGAAACAATTTACCGCCTATTGCTGAATCTACCATACAAGGGGTAAATAAAATAGTATTTGTGGATATGTGACATGTATGCACACACTTTTTTCTCAAATACCTAGGTATCTATTTTTTTTTTTTTTTTTTTGTCTTTTTCATTTTTATCGGTACCAGGGATCGAACTCACGACCACACACTTGCAAGGCAGGCACTTATGCTGCTGAGCTAAATCCCCAGCCCCATAACTAGGTATCTAAAAGCAAATAGAAAAAATGAAATAAAAGCAAATAATGTTTCAATATTATGTAACTGAACACCTAAATTCTATGGACACAACCTGAACATTGCAAAAACCAAAGAATGACAGCCCACAAACACCTCTTTCCCATTCTTCACATGGTTTGAGGTCTAGTTACTAGACCAATCTAAAGTTTACTTAACTGTTAACTTTGACGGTTTGGTTTGGTTTGGTTTGGTTTGGTTTGGTTTGGTTTGGTTTGGTTTGAGACAGGGTCTCAATAATTTGCCCTGGCCGGGTTCAAACTTTCAATCCCCGGTCTTAGCCTGCCAGAGTACTGGGATTACAGACATGAGTCACAGCACCTGGCTTACTTCATTTATTTTTGAAGTACAAATTAAGCTTTTACAGTGACATTGCTTTAAATTCACCTTCAACCCTTCAACTATTACTCAAATTTAAAAAGTCTTAAAAGTGTACACACCCAAAAAGTCACATATATGGTCTGAATTTTAGTGATAAGTTTCTCCATGACAGTTCACATTACCAAAATGGTATTACTGAGATCATTCACTATTTAGGGATAGAAGAATTCTTTATTTTCATATTACATGAAAGTTTTAAGAAAACAATCCATTTTAGTTTAGTGTTGATAAACAACTACAATCACAGAATTTTTTGAGCTAAAGGATTCATTTTTTATTTGCAAACATATACTCAAATCTAAACCCAAGATGTGACCTATTACCAATTTAACTCCCCGAAGAATGGTCAAGAATCTATACAAATTCCTCCATAAATACTTGCCCACATTTCAATACAAACTATACCAAAAATTTGTAACATTTTAGCTGGCAATGCAGCTCAGCAACACATTTGCCTACATTACACAGGTCCTGGGTTCACTCTCTAGTACCTCCAAAAAAACAAAAAAAGTAAGGTACTATATACAAAACCTCAAGGAAAACACCAAAAAATGACTGAAAACAGACATTTTACTCTAATTTTAAACATAGTGGAGAAAAGCTTGTTTATAACCCACAAAGGGTATTATTATTCACTGAGTCACAGTATTAACAACTAATTAGAAGACAAGACTAGGAGCCAAAGACTCCCATTTCTCAATTTCTGTTCTACCACTGGCTTAGTTCACACAGAACGTGAAGAAGTGAACTGACATTCCGAAGCTATAAGACCTGATTGTTTATGAACTACCTTAGGACCATGAAGGAAAGCCACTGTAATTGTAAAATGTCCTATGTGCTTAATCCGAAACTATAGCTACCAGTTAGCAGTAGTTGCAAATCCAAAACTATAGCTACCAGTTAGCAGTAGTTGCAAATACAGCCATGGTTAAGTTTTTGTATCCTACAGCAAAACTGTTAGGAAGGTTCACGTATTAGCAAACTAGAGAGAAGATTTCTGTCCTAATCTTTGTTTTCTCAAAAACCGTGTTATTGGCCAATGCAACCTTTTGCGAGAGAAATCCAACTCAGACTAAGAAATCAGCTGTAGATATTAATAAGCTCACACCAAATGAATGAAAGCTATCAGGAATCACAAGAACTCACTGATAATAATAGCAAAAATGGGAACCTTGAAAATAATCCTAGAAAACAGTCACTTAACAACAGTTTTATTAAAAGACAGATCCCCACTTTTTTAAATTAAAAAAAAAAAAACTCCAAAATATTTTCAGGCAGGAGACAAGATGAAATGTGTTTAAAACCTGAACTAATTCTCTAGGTGGCTCTAGCACCTGCTTGGCGCTGAGAGACACGAGGGACTGGAGAGGCTGCTCAGGAAAAGTGCTGATGCCATCTCCAACTGCCCCTGAACGACAGTAACAATGCAAACACTGACAAAAGAGCCGGGAGGACACCCGAAGTCCCTGCCTGGCAGGACTTCCATCCGAGCCCCAACATACAAAGCGACAAGTCTCCGAAAGGCCCTTCCCTGACAGGTCTCGCGGGCGCAGACCTTCGGTCCACGGGCTACAGTGAGAAAGTCCTGCCCTCAGTCCTCCCGGACACGGGCACCGCGGCCAGCCTCCCACGAGCCGGCGGACCGCGAGGAGACCGCCTCTCGGGCTCCGAACGGCGCGGGGCCGCCGTCCTTCCCCGGGCAGCGGCGGGACGGCTGCCCCCGTGAGCCTGGCAGGCGACAAGTGCACTCAGTCGGAGCCCATACTGCGCCCGGGTGGGGGCGGCGCGGCGGCCCGGCCCGCGCCCTCCCCACGCGGTCCGCGTCCGGGTCCCGCCCGCCGCCGCCGCCGCCGCCGCCGCCGCCACCACCACCGCTGCGGGCCGGGCTGCAGACCTCGGCCGGCCGGGCGGCCTGGGGCCCTACCTGAGGCTGTGTACCAGCTCCCGGCGTGACTGGCTTCCCGGCAGACCACTCGGTTGGACATCTTGGTGCCTGTGCCGCCTATGGTGCACGAGGATGAATGAGGAGGTGGCGGCGGCGGCGGCGACAGGAGCGGCTCCGCGAGGGGACGAGACACCGCGGGCCCAGCCCAGGAGGAGGAGGCGGCGGCGGGGAGGGGATCGGCCCGGCCCAGGAGGAGGAGGAAGAAGAGGAGGCGGCGGCCCAGGAGAAGGCGGTGGCAACCGGGGCGGTGGCGGCAACAATCACCACAAACTCCGGCGGCCGCCGGAAGATGGGGCCCGCGGCGGCCTCACCCGAGCCCGGAAAGCCTGGCCCGGCCCCACAGTCGCCGCAGCAGCTCCCAGCCGGGGCTGGTTCCGCCGAGCCGCCCTCCCGGCCCCCTCCCCGCCCGGCCGGCCGGCCTCCCTCGCCACCGCGGGTGACCCCACCCCCGTGACTGCGCGCCCGCCCCGCCCCGCCCCCGCCCCCGCGGGGCTCCCCGCACCCACCCCGCCCCCGCCCGCCCCACCCCCACCCGGCGGGGCCTCTGCCGTCCGCCGCCCGCTGGCCCCGCCCCGCGCCACCTCCCGCCGCCGCGCGGCGAGGTTAACGGCGGAAACCGGGCAGGCCACACGGCATCCGGGGTCGGGCCGCCCCGCGAGGAGGCACGGCAGCGGCGGCTCCGCGCGCACGAAGCCCAGGGCCGGGGCCTGAACCGGGGAAGCCAGCCCCAGAGCCGCCGACGCCGCCTTACTCGCCACTCTCGCGGGTCCGGCCCACTGAGCATGCCCAGCACCGCTGCCGGGCCGCCGCGGACTCGCAACGCGCGCGCTCCGCTCTCCGGGCTTTAGCGCCAGCAGAGGCTGGGGGCAGGGCGCGGGCGCAGGACGCAGCCGCGAGGCAGCCCCTTTCCCCAGCCCGCCGCCTTCCCCCGAGCACGCCGCTGCGGCTTGGCCCGCAGGGCCCGGCCCTCGGCCCGCCGCTCCCGCGTCGTCGGTGGGCTGGCTCCTCGGGCTTTCAGCGAGACGTTTGGAGTCTGGCCGCGCCGCCACGAAGTTCGTTTGCAAAAGAGGCACATTGTAAAGTGTGCCTGCGGTACTGCTAGCGAAGTTCTTGCTTCGCGGGGTCACCCTTACCACCGTATATTTAACTTGTTCCGTGTTACATTCATGTAGGTGCGCGTCTCGTCTTCCTAAACTAGTATGCAAGAGCTAGCCTCCATGATTCCCAGCCGTAAAATGGAGCTAGCACTCAAGCCCTGTACCTAGGCTCACAAGAGTTAATGTGAAAGACGTGCAAGGTAGACATACGGCAGTGTGCCACGCTTCGCTTACATTTTACAAATCCCAGTACTCCCCATAAATGTCAGTACCAAGTCCATTAGCTAGGTGTAGTGCTAGGGCCTAGAATTTCAGCTACTCTGGAGGCTGAGGCAGGCGACCAAGCTGGGAAATTTAATGAGACGTCTCAAATTTTAAAAAATAAATTTAAAAGTGCGGTGTGGCACAGTGGTAAAAAGGGGCACTTCGTAATTGTGGCTGGAGGGGTTGGGGATTTAGCTCAGCGGCATAAGCTCCTGCCTTGCAAGCAGGCAGTCGTGAGTTTGATCCCTGGTACCGGTAAAAAGGAAAAAGACAAAAAAGTAATTAAAATTGTGGCTGGATTGCAGTAAAGGAGAGTACACCCAAGAGGTGTTGTGGCTGTGAGGTGCATCAGTCTTCAATGAAAGATCTAGGAGCTGGGGATTTAGCTCAGTGGCATAAGCGCCTGCCTTGCAAGCACATGGTCTTGTACCGATTTAAAAAAAAAAAAAAAGTGGAAGATTTAGGGCTAAAAACCATAAATTTTTTTCTATCCTAATTTCACAGTAAGCTTCTCTGGTAGAGTCCAACATAGATGGCTGGCTACCTAATATTCCAGCTTTAGGTTTCCCTAGTGTCATAATAATATACTGTAGTCTAAGGTTTTTTAAAGGCATTTTTCGGTTCCTTCTCCCACATTTTCCAACGTCAGGGCTCAGACTGCAACAGCTTAAGTCTAAGCCCTTCAGTGGGCCTATTAATGATACTCGACATTCTTTTTCTACATCGTTGTTAGGCTAAAATCTCCACTAAATATATATTTTATAACTCGAATTTTATCCTCTCCACGACTGACCAAACAAAATGATAAGATGTAGGGAAAAAAATGAACATACAGCACCTAATAGCCAAAGCCACTGTAGGAACAACAGAAAAAAAGAAAGCTGCAGCTCAAATTCCATAGTATTCTCCAAAATTCAGTGCCAACTAATGAAAAAGTGAACTTTTCGTTGTAAATTTCAAGCACTGATAAGTTGACAGCATTTGTGGTTAATTGTTGGTGATACTGTTTCTATGGGGCAGTATACAGTAAACAAAGAAAACTTCACTTTTCTGGCCCTTCCAATTACAAAATGAGGTTTGTGTCTTGGCTGTGTGACTATTAGCATCCAGTAACTTAACCATTTCACACCTCAGTGTTCTCATCTGTCAAATACAAATAGCCGCATCTCACATGCTTGCTGTGAAAGTCATTAAAGTATATAAAAAGTTTATAAGCTGTACTTTATATACTGTATGCTACCTCCTAGCAGCAATCTTAAATTTTATTCCAAACTAGTAATCTTGTTCAGAATTATTTTTCCTATTAAAATGCTCAGCCGAACTCTTCTCTAAATGGTTTTTATAATAATCAACTTCTTCACAGAATGATTTGGGGATGACAGTGGGCAATGTATGTACTATTGTCCCCGCTGACTGACATGTTTTGAAAATGTGGGGGTGGGGGCTGGGGATTTAGCTCAGCGGCATAAGCTCCTGCCTTGCAAGCAGGCGGTCGTGAGTTCGATCCCTGGTACCGATAAAAAACCGAAAAAGCAAAAAAAAAAAAAACGAAAATGTGGGGGTTTTTTCTTTACTTTCTTGTATTTGTTTCTTTTTAAGCATTGGAATAAAATGAATTTAGAAAAATAAGAGAAAGCAAAACATCTATCGTATGATTTTAGTCATATAAAGTTACTTATTTCTGTATGTCTTCTGGGGTGAAGGTAGGGTCTGGAAACTTTGTCATTAAAATGATGCCAGTGAGAAAAAAAAAAAAAGATGCAAAAAAAAAAAAAATAGTGAAAAAAAAAGCAAATTGCAGCCAGGTATAATGGCACACACCTGTAAGCCCAGCACTCTTGAGGCTGAGGCAGGAGAGTTGTTGTGAGTTTGAGACCATCCTGGGCTACAAAGTGAAGTCCAGGTCAGCCTGAACTGCATACATAGTGAGACCTTGTCTCAAAACAAAAAAAAGCAAATTGCAGAATGATGTATAAAGTATACTACCATTTGTGTAAAAAATGAGTACTTGTGTGCTCCTATGTTGTAATACTTCTAGAAAAAAAGCAACAAGCTGGTAACAGTAATTCTTTCTGTGCCAAACTTTTTTTTTTTTTTTTTGGTCTTTTGAGGCAGGGTTTCACTGCGCAGTTCAGGCTGGCCTTGAACTCACTTTGTAAAGCCCAGGTTAGCCTCAAACTCACAGGGTTTGCCTCAGCTTCTTGAGTGTTAGAATTACAGGTGTGCACCAGCACACTGGGCCCTGTACCAACTTTTTTTTTTTTTGGTACTAGGAATTGAGCTTAAGACCTTGTACTTTATAGGCAGATGTTTGTGCCACTGAGCTATATCCCTAGCCCCAACATTTTCAGTGTTTACCTTTTGAAGTATATGCCATATAATTATATTACCTATACCAAGACATACCTAATTTATTCACGTTTAGGCTTGATTTTTCTTTTTTTTTTTTCTTTTTTTTGTCTTTTTCCTTTTTATCAGTACTGGGGATTGAACTCACGACTGCCTGACTGCCTGCTTGCAAGGCAGGCGCTTATGCCACTGAGCTAAATCCCCAGTCCCTAGGCTTGATTTTTGAATCTACATGAGAATATTAAATTGACTAATTTTAGATCATACTTTTCCACAGCTGACAACCTTAGGAGCCCCAATATCACTGAAAACCCTATAGATAAGAAAAATGTTCTACAATGAAACCACAATGTTTTGAACAAATCAAGATTTAAGAATTCAGCATAGCCAGGAATATAGCTCAGTGGCATAAGCTCCTGCTGGGCAAGTACAACATTCTGAGTTCAATCCCTGGTACAAAAAAAAAAAAAAAAAAAAAAAAAAAAAAAAATTCAGCAGAGAGGATTTTTTGATTTCAATTAAATCAGTCAACCTTGCCCCTCTCTACTATAGAAATCAAATTTAGGTGACATTAAGTTTTGTGTACCTGACATTTGGCTACTTCATATATTTAATGATTTATTTTTTGTGGGGGGTACTGGCAATTGAACTCAGGACTTTGCATTTGCTGGCAGGCGCTGTGCCGCAGAGCTGCATCCTTGGCCTATTTAATGATTTCTGATGAAAATGTATGCATTTCCAGTGTCCTAAAATGAAATTTTGTACATGAAGCTTTTTTCATATATATTATTGAAGTGAAATAGACAAGATAAAAGATATAAATCTTTTTTAAAATCTGACATATTTGTTAAAGAGAGTCATTCATTAACGGCCCTTTTATCGCAGGGGCCTATTTTTCATTATCATGTTACTTTTCTTCTTTCTTCATTTATACCAAAAGACTTTTTAACAAGTAGATGGTTACAATCGCTTAGAAGTTTTTATTTCTACAGTTTTTGGAATCCAGTCCATGAAAACATCTGGGTAAAATGTTTTATTCTGTTTCTGTCATTTTGTTGTGTTTCTAACAGAAGCTGTTAATCTTAAAAGTTCACTGTACCTCATAAATGAGTTTTGCACAAGGTTCAGTATTCCCCTATAAACTCATAGGATTACAGATGATCTCTTTCTAGCCACTTTTTTTTCTATTCATGGTGTCTATCCTCTAGGAATGTGTTCCTGATTCACTCCAGTGGTTCTCCCACTAACCTAACTATGAACAGAATTCAGGAATTTACCCTTACAGGTTACAGTCGACCTTATTCTATTTTTGTATTTGTTTACTGAACAGTATCTTCTCCATTAATTGGTCAAAGAATAGAAATTGTTTCTATACTATCAATGCTAGCTGTACCATACACTAAATTAAAGTACCATACACTAAATTATAGAAATTTTCTAAACCAACTTTTTTTTCCAGACAGGTTTCCCTTATGTAGCCCAGGCTGGCTTTAAACTCAGGGTGATCCTCCTGCCTCAGCCTCCTGAGAGCTGGGATTATAGGCATGCACTACCATACCTGACTAAACCAACTTCTATGTAACGGATTTACTAGAATAAGTGATAGGCTCCTTTCCCTCAGTAAAATACACTTAGTACCAATTATAAGCTGCACCTTTGAAGCTAGTGGACTACACTCAAAAGAATCTCATACATTTGCACTCTTAAGATTGCACATGCCTAATGAAAACCAGGCATGTTCTACAACTTATTATACCAATTTTACTAGATACTGCCATCACCTAGTTACTACATAAAACAATGAAATACAAACAATGTAAAAGATGTGTTATGCTCTGAATGTTATGTTCCCAAAAATTTCATGTTGAAATCCTGATCACCAAAGTGATGGCATGAGAAGCATTCAGAGGCGATTAGGTCATTTCATGGATGGGATTGGTGCCCTCATGAGAGATCCCAGCGAGCAAGTTATAAGAACACAGCTTAAAGGTGCCATCTATAAAGACTA